AACTGAAAAGAGTTTTACTGTCTGACTATGTTGGGAGTATTGCGAAAGAAAATGGTACCGAATAACCAGGTCCACTGATGATGTCGGAATTATCAGGAACATACACGAGGAGTCAGAAGATGTTGAAAAGAGTAGAGACTTAGAGCGATGTACAATGAGATGTGCTGCTGAGCATTATTCGAAATCAACTGACTGTCGTCGTTAAGCGATAGATATACACAGGTACTGAGAGGTAACCTTCGCTTCGTGAAAAAAGAAAGAAAGGTTGCGAATGTATACATCGTGTGACGCGAAGTAAACAGCTAATAGGTAGAAATACTGTCACGAATTCTGACTGCGTCGGTACCGATAATAAGCGTATTTTGAACGGAATAGTTGTCGACAGAAATAAACGTTGAAATTAACTCGATAATGAGCTCAAGTATTCAACATGACGGTTTATGTAATTCTGAAAAATGCTATGACGATCTGAGAAGAATTAGCGCACTGAATTTTTAATGCATTTAGTCCAAACATTCCGCCTTGACAACTATATTAGTTGTCAAAATAACTGAAGTCAAATTAAACGGAAACTTAAATCTTGGATACAGTCACTGTTCGTTTGACTCGTCCGTCACTTTTGGTAGTAAACACAATTTTACAATCGGTCTCTTGAAAGTTGAGGTAGCCATCTTCACCGTGGCGACGCGAATAAGTCCGTCAGAGCCAGGGTGTACGTCGAAGATACGTGCAAGAGGTCACTTGGCGAGAACCAAAGCTTCAATCCGGACCAGATTTTGTGTCCGATGCCACATTGAGGAGACTTGAAACTGCGATAGATATTCGGTAGCCCATCGTTGCCAAAATGACTCTGTCATCTGGCGTAAGAGTTACCATCGTGCTAGTCGGTTTTCTGGAAGATCTTTTAGAGACGGTTCAGGCACGGCAGTGAGAGCTGAGCCCACGAGGAAATTTCCTGGCGTAAGTGCGGAGACGTCTGATGAATCATCCGAAAGATCCGTTAGGGGGCGAGAATTGAGGATCGCTTCGATTTGAGCCAAGAGCGTTGTCATCTCTTCGTAGGTGAGCAAGGTCTCACCGATAACTCGACGAAGGTGAAACTTGATAGATTTCACTCTTGCTTCCCACTTGCCGCCGAAGTTTGGGGCGGAAGGTGGATCGAACTTCCACGTGACACCGTCGCTAGTAAGATGAGCGACGATACGAGACACTTTCGAAACGAGGCCTTAAGGGGATGCTGGAATGTCCTGTTTTACCATTAATTTTTAAAAACTCTTTTCTCTTAATTGTGTTTATGGATTGAAAAGTCCTCCACAATGAAAGTATCGACAACAACACAGGCAGCCAGTTACAATTTAATATGAAAAATGAAAGAAAATTAAAAATTTTAGTTTTGTCACCGGCTCCTGCAATCAACTCGTCACAATATGTGCTGCATATAAGAGTTTCAG